CTCCTCCATGGTCACAGAGCACTGCTCCAGCACCGACCACTGTCGCCCCACCCCGTCCTTCTAATAGAGTTACCCCCCTGAGCCAGCCTTCCCCTCCTGCATGAGCCCCCCCAAAATTTCTTCCCAACCATACTTCCGATTTCACTCTCCATTTGAAAAAACAAGAGGAAACAGCCACCAACAATCCAACTCTTACCTTCACCACCGATGAGGGACACATCGATCGAGCTTTCAGTCCTCGTACCAGAACTCGTCAGATCTCATACCCCCGTGTAAGGGTTACAAGGCAACACAAACAACCCCAGTACCGATCTAACTGATTCTGACGAACAGATAGTGCCTTCCCCCCTCGACACCTCTCTTAACTGCATGACCCCTGAAAAGGTTACAAGGTCCCGCCCCAGCAACAACTACGTCGGGCGAGATGGTTATGCCTTCCACCCTCGGCATAACTTCAATGACCTCAAGCTCCCCCTGGTCACAGAGCGAATGCTCCAGTACCGGCCAACGTCGTCCCACCTCACCCTTCTGGTAAGACTTACCTCTGTAAACCGCCGGTCCCTCATCTAAGTGAACCCCCCCACTTCCCACCTACCCCTAATTCGACCTCCCCCCCTTTTAATTTGCAAAACCACAACGACCGCAATCACGACAAAGAAATAAGATTTGCAGATAGGGATTTGTTCACATAGAAAAGAACTGCGAAAACTACTCTTGAAAAATAGAAATTAAAACCACAATTGAGAAATTTGTCTGCAACAGCCTTTTTGGAAAGAAACATTTAAGATCGAAAATTCAAGAAATCCAACTAAGACGTCCCATTGGACTCACGAATGTCTATGATCAAGAATAATCCTGACATAGTTGAGGTCATCAGCTAACGAAGTTCAAGGATGGGATTGAAGATGAGATTTGATAAAATTTGAAAATCCAAAAAAAGAAAACTCACTCAGACAGCGAATCAAGAACTTGTTAAGAACTCTAGTTCAAGAAATCGATAGGAAATAACGACATGAAAATACGACATGTAGAATACGACAGGAGATAAGGACATGAGAATACCACACGAATCAAGATATTCCAATTGGGTGCATCATCACGGATAGCGACATAGAAAAGACGAATATCATCATGGATAACGACATAGAAAAGACGAATAGGTAATACAAAATTTGGCGGACTCCTTTCATGACTAACCTTTTCAAAATCACTCGACTGCCAATGCTGATGGCAACATGGAGGATGAGGTGAGCCCATCAATATAAACAACACACATTTGGATATATGGAAGCGAGAGCTGCAGTTGTCCAAGCGACCACATCAAACACATACGCTGCATGGAGAGAGCTCAAGCAAATGTTAGCAAAGGAACCGGAAGAAACCAAACGTAACGAGCTCATAACGATCTTCTGTTCAGTATGGGTGGACAATGCAGAGAGACTCTGTAAACTGGACCAACACAACCAGCTACGGTGGAAACCATGGCTGAAAACAGAAAGCCAATCGCGAAGGCTTTTTTTTTTTTTTTTTTTTTTTTTTGAGAGAGAGAGAGAGAGAACACCCGATCGGATGCCAGATGTGCTGATGAGAGCAGACACCTCTAGCACCGTCTGGGGGGCTCCATCTATTGGCGGGGAGCAGCACCTGCTGGAAACCGGGTCCAGCGTCCCTTTGATACATCTTACAATGCAGAGATTGTTGTTTGTTATTCCCCGGGGCTGCGGCCAATTCAAACTCAGCTTGGTGCTCCAATATCCCATGAAGTTGCTAGTGTCACCCATCCCTTCTCAGGAGCACCTCTTATCTAATAACCCAACCTTGTCTCAGCAGCCCCCTTATGTGTGTGTGTCTATTTAACCCTTTCAACCAATACCCTCCCAGAACCAGCGCAAGACCCACCCCTGATACTTGAGTGGGTAATAAAGGAGACACTGCTTGCTCATGTCCAGCCCCACCCCTTATCATGTAACCTAGCCCTAGACTGCTACAGTGTGTGGGAATGAGGTCAGTAGTTCGATTTGTAGTTGCACCTTGTGTACCTCTTCACTCATCTTCTGAGCGCCAGATGTATCTTGATCTCCTCTGGTACCATGTCATGAAGTTGACTGCCTACCAACATTGATTACCCTGAAGCCAGGGGATTGACTGAGCAGGCCAAGAATGGGTTTGAGGGGAATCTTAATTAAGAGGCCTCTTCACCCTGCTACTGGGCGCCTGACAGACCTGCCTACCTGGCCTCGTTACTCCCCTCTGTAGCCGCAGTTTACCATCCATTATGTTCCACGAGTCATCCCTCCATTCCATACCACTGCATTACAACTGGGCAATTTGAGGGGGGGGGGAAGAAATCGGGAAAGTTGTCCGGGGACTTCAGTGGTGTCGCTGCATCAATGTCAGTCCAGTTATGGAATAGCAGTCGGTAATCCCTTACTATTTCCATCCTTCCTTGGCCCTCCTCGACTTCCTGTTGTGCCCCTTTCCACTCCACCTTCCCTATCTTCCCACTTGTGATCCCCCCCCGCCAGCTTGAGGAAAATTCTTGGATTCGTTGTTCAATGTTTTTTTTCTTGTCAAGGGAGCGAATGCGTGCTCTGACATCCTCCTATTTTGCCGTTATTTCAATTTGAATCTGCTGTTGTACGCTTTCTGTAAATTCAGGCCCTTCTAATCTCGCTTCTTCCATCTCGTATATGCATCGTTTTCTCCACAGTGCCCAGCGCACCGCCCTTCTTCCCAGTTTGAACAGATTGTTGGTAAATTCATCGGGGGGATCAGTCTGATTCCTGGGCCATGCTTCGCACAACAGGGCCCGCCCGTCCCAGGGCCACGTGGTTGTTGTTTCTAGTTGGTTCCAGATTTTGTCCCACCATCTCCACAACCAGAGTGCGTGTTCAATTGTCTCTGGACGTTTTCTGGATGGGAACGCGTTTGTGCACAACTTGCACCAGGGCAGAGCTAGCCCTTTTTGTTCCAGGGACGTTCTGTCTATTAGCCAATTGTTAGCGATGCTCAATCTGCCATTGAAGCGAGGCGAACTTGGCTGGTTTCGTCTTTGTCATGCTAAACCATTTAATCGGCCTTAGCGCCTCTTTGCTTTCAGGTGATTTCTCCACCGGTCCTCTACTTGGTCTCTGAGATTGATCCTTGGCCTCAATAGTCTATAGGTGGATTTGACTGTTAGGCTGTGCAATGATTTGGTGTGGCTCCTGCCCTCCCCTATCCGGGTCGTCCATTTCCATTCCTCCAGGTCCAGGGCCAAATGATGGATTGGTGTGGAGGGGAGGAAAGCTATCCATTGCTCTCCCTCTCGCAGTACTCTGATTCTGAATATTTCCTCCTTCTGGCATATCCTCGTTTCTTTTGGGATGGTCTCTTCCATGACATTACCCCTTCCTATTTGAAAGAGACACACCCCCACTGTTCCATAGGGATTACAGCATACCACTTTCCCCACCCTTCCTTGTAGGTCGCGAAGGCTACCACGTGACCACTTCATCTTTCCCTTCCACCCGACTAATTTCATTCTGCTCTACGACGTTTCCATGATGCCCCCTCTCCCCATCCTCCCCCTTCCCCCCC